TAGTATATATTGCTTTACTACAAAAAATTTTTTGCTCCGCAAAGAAAAATTGCCATGTGATCCTGGCATAGAATAGGCCAAGCTGCCTGCCAAGTGTGGCGACTACTGGCAAAACCCCCTAAGGGAGAGGTTTATGTTTAGCAGTGGACAGTTAAAGTCTGGTATAATAATGATACGATGACAAATATAGCATCTCAAATTGTTACAAAATTAATATGATCTCAACACGATAATTAGCTCTACTGTTTGAAAAAAAATACATATTGTCTTTTTGTCTTAAATATCATAATTAAAGATACAAATGTTATGCATATAATAATGATAAATTCCCAACTACCCCCAACTAGTCTAGTCACATCTAGTATTTAAAAGGCAATGTATAATTTTATCGTGGTAAGTCTGCCAGTCAAATTACTGAAGACGAACGTTGCAAATTGAAATGAGGCGGCACTCAACATTTGAGCAATGCTCGTATATTAGAATATTCAGAATCCTGAATCATAAAAATGCTCTTACATTTACATCGTAATCATATTCATATTCTGTGATAAGTTTTAATAATCCTCTTCATTTTTACAGGATTAAATTCGCAGACAGAGATACTTATTATAGATACTTATTCTGTATGTAATCTCAATTTATATGAATACAAACTGTATTGCTACAAACTCTTTGCTTTGACGCACAAGCTATTTTTTGATTGCATATGTTCTCTCACACTAAACACTTATGAAAACACTATTTGTGATGTTGTTTTTATCAATTCTGAAAATTTTATTCGACATACATTTTATACTGCAACACAGAATCAAATTAATAGAGAGGCAATTTAGACTTCATTCAGACCAAGTTGAATGACAAGGCAAGACAAATATGTATGAATGTATGTATATATTTACCCCTATACAAATACATTCAAAATATTTTCAAGAAGCTTTAATAAATTAGTGTGTAAATATAAATGGTCAAAAGTGACCTTCATTAATCTCATGGAAAATATTATTTGAAGGCCTTCGCGACATCGATATAAATCTATTTAAATACATAATAAAGATTAAATCTCATTCTCTTTTTGAATTTTAAAAGAACGAACGTTTTAACTTTTTAAACGACTAAAATCATGATTATGAATAGTTCTTAATCTTAGACGATCCGACTAAGCCCTTTTCATCAAATAATTCTCATTTCTATAGAGTTATTTATCTAGATTCTCATTAATGCCTAAAAACGAATAGACGACAAAAAAGTTTAGCTATTTAGGAAAATCCTTTATAAATTCTTTTTTATTCTAATCATCCCTCAACGACAAGCAATAGTTTCGCTTTTAGAGGTACCGTACCATAGGCGTATTTTATAAAGTTCATAGCTATGTTCGTAGTATCGTTTAGAGTTATATGTTAAGTGAGTATTGCCACTTGCCTTAAAATGGTCTTTCACCTTGTTTGCCATTTTGCAATAGACAAAAATGCCTCGTCATCACTGATTTCAGCCATTGAAATATCGTTAATGTTGGCAACATCAAACATCTTAACTTAGGATTCATGTTAATATTATTTGGAAACAAAGAACTTTGTTTTGTTCTGAAATTGACTTCACTCTTCCTCTTCCCATGTTTATAAATAAGTCTTATATATTGTTGTTAGATGTAGAATATTGTATTATATGAATGGGTGGCCCATTCTATGCCAAGATCACACGGCAATTCTTCCTTTCCCCCGGGTGTCGTAAGAGGCAACTAAAGCAACTAAATGGTTGAGGGATGGGCAGCAACATCCCTCTGAAAACATCACCAAGACCTAACTGTGGTTGCCAACCCGCCTGCTAAGCGTAGCAACTACGGACAAAACACCCCAATAGGGGGAAACCTATATTCAACAGTAGACAGTTAACGGCTGATATAATAATATAATGGATGACTATTTTTTACCTGGACTTTGTCCGCATAGCCGGGATATGTTTACTGACCGGGTTTAAAAATAATCAATATCCTTCATTCCATATAGTACGTGTAAACCAAATTTAATAAAAATTGGATTTTTACTTATTTCTGCCATTAAATTTTAACTATCTTTCAAAAGGAGGAGTTTCTTAATTCGTCTGTATCTTTGTAAATATATTGCGTCAGCAGTTCTGAACTGATTTTCTTATTTCTTTTGTAATCTATAAGAGTTTTTTCCACATTAGTACCATATTAGTTTTATGACGATTGAAACTGTAATTTCTCTTTGCAGAGCAAAAATCAGTTTACATAAAAATCGTATTAATTGCCGTCTTTTATAAAACATAATAATTAGCTGCATGTTACTCAAGTTCTAGTAAAAAAAAACATATTTTGGACAAGAGTGAATGAATAAATGAAAACTTTATTATTCCCTTCAAAGAATGATACAGATAATAAAGATTAACAATATATACACAGCGTATATGCAGTCAGGCTCATGCTCGCGTCACAGTCGCTCATGTCTAAGAATCACAAATTGATTCCGAAACTAGTCGAGGTTTTCTGGTCTAATTACACTTATTAATATATTTTTTTTATACAACTTAGAATGGCAAACCAGCCCTCTTCACAGCTCGATGAGTAATTTGAAGCTTTGTTGAAATGTGTTGAAATGTTGCGGTTCCATCAGTCAGCACTGGCAATACGTATTGTGCGTATATAAATCTTCAAACTTTGAGGTATTTTGGATGAAAAGATGTGGTGTAGTTGTCCAAACGCTGCCCAGCTCAGCTGTTCAACTCAGTAGTAATTGTTGAAATTTATTATTAAATAACAAATTCAGGACATACATTTTAAAATGTTTTTTTTTATGCAACTTAGAATGGCAAACAAGCTGACGGCCCACCTGATGGAAAGTGGTAACCGTCGCCTATAGACATGAGCAGTACCATGGTTATAACAAAATATACTGTTTCGCCCATGATACCCCCATGCGTTGCCATACCTGAGAACTCAGATGTTATTCCTCTGTACCCTGTAAATTCATGCCATATCCCACCCTTCAAATCGAAACACAGCCATGCAAACACAACTGCTTTACGGTTGAAACACGAATGGGACAGAGGTACCCAAGCAAACTTTTGTACAAAGTCTCCCTCTCAAACAAAATGAATACTGAATTATATAAAAGCAAAATAAAGAAGCAACAATGAGCGGCCTCATCGCTAAATAGAGTAGTTCAAAATATAGTAAAGTTCACGTTATTATTTTGGACCAACATTATGAAGTTATAAAAAATCGCTGAAAACTCGGCTACAAGTCAACAACCTAATTAGAACATTTTGTATGCGTGTATAAAATTATTCTACTTGCGTGACCTATAGCAGTTTATAAATGTGACCCGCATAAGCGACGCTCGGCATATTGGGCCCAATGTTGGCACCAACATACCATCTGAACATATGGATTTTGCACAAAAGTTATATACATAAGTATTTTAGAAGTAAATATTCGTGATACTGCAGCAGTATTTTTAATAAATGAAAATTATATGGTAACCCCGCTTACGTTATTGGTTTATGCAGGCGGGATTCCATTAAAAGATCACCAGATATTAACTACTTTGAATTCTAGGTAGTAGTCCCTCCTGTAAAGGGGGAGAAGGGATTGTTAGTAATACGAACTACCTGTCCCATTGCTAACATCATAGAGTATACTCAGGAGTCAGGTCAACCTCCACATGGTCCCCCTGAAGACCATCGTACTGAATTCCAGGTATATTCATTACAATGAACTAACCTTTTTACTCTCACATATCATCCCTCACTGGTGCCCAACGTATAGCGCAACCGGAGTTACCATTCCATTAACATTCTTAAAAAAAATCACTGCTGGAAAGAATTTTGATTTGTGATTAAAGTAGTAGTCGAAGAGATCAACCTGACGTATATAATATAGTAAACAATAAAGCTGATACTTCCCGTTACTAACATTGGAGGCATAGCAAATTAGTTCTCAAGACCATTAGACTCAAGACAAAAAACAAATGTTTGATATCAGCCAAATTCGAACTCACCACTTTGCGGCCTAAGTCTATGTAAATTAAACACCACTGAACCATAACACTCTTTTGTACTAATCTTTATATACGTACTCATAAAACAGTTCAGAATTGTACAAAGCTCGATATGACTTTTCTGTTTACTGGAGATTAACAATACGACGTATTACTTACACTCTACACAAAGTAATAACTTCCAGGAATTCACCAACAATGGGTATGTATTGTACACAAAATAATTACTGCTTTGAAGTGATTTTTCCTGTTATACTTAGATTCCTGGCTTATATATTGGAGCCAACATACGCTAAAGGATTTACTCGCGAACTTTGAAAATTCCGTCAAACTCAGCCTCCCAATGTTCTTTCGACCTAAGCAAACACGACCCAAAACTCGAAATTGGCTCCTTTTATGCGATTAGAGCTGATAAGATGCAATGCCTTGGGTCTGACTTGATAACTGGGATAATCTTTTGCTGTCCGTTGTTGGGAAAAATTGCTTTCTGTCTTGTCTAACCTACTCTAAAGATAAATAGGATTTATGTAATGGTATATAAAAATATTAAATTTATTTAGTTTAATATAGTAAAAGAAGAGGAACTTTTGTGGTATGCTACTAATATTATAAATAGTTTTGATCATAATTCACGCATATTTTTGGGAATAAAATCTAAAAGAATTTTGTTAATATATATAAAATATGTAAATAAATATTCTGTAAATGCCTAAAAAAATGTATAAATATCGGAACGCCAGTTAAAATGTCACAAACTTACTTTCACATTTAACCCCTTATGAGGTATCATGAGTACAATTTTTTATCCCCTCGTTAGCATGCATAAACTTTTGTTACTTTCTCCAACTTTAGAACTTAGTCGTGGAATGAGAATTTTATGTTCGTACATTATTTTATTTTGCAGCTACATGCCTGTCACAAACAAATAAAAACAAAGAGTAAATCTACAGACGATCATAGGTAATATTGATAGTACAAACTTACCTCTCGTTTGTCATAAAAGCTTGCAACTCTGATTACTATCTGAAAAAGAAAAAAATATGTTACTTACATGAATAATAACAATAATAATTATATAATATTCAAACATTTTGTAATATTATGTACGTGTGTAATCATCACTGACCATAGAATAATAAAATCAGTTAATGCGAATTGGACTCTTGTGAAGGACGATTGTGAAATTTTATTTTTTTTTAGATGAAAATGAGATGAATTTAATTTATATACCCTGCTAGCACACGTGGCCCTATTTTTAAATTATGAGCACTTCTTTGGAACCTTGAGTCATCAAATAAACGTAATTTTTCAATTAACTAACGAAGTCGCCTTGTATGGGTTCCTATTCACCACTTTAGTGCGGAATCCTAAAAAAGTACAAGAACACACTCTATTAGTATATCATGGAAGTACCCCGAATACAAAGGCGTTGCTATAATGCGTATATTGTATGTATTAGGACATAATAACGTCAAAAGGTCCTTTCATGACGACAACAAACGTTATTGAAATATCGGGTAGGCACACCAAAAAGCCTAACGACATTTTTCCTTGGTCCCTACATTAAATAGATTGAACGTGAAAAAGTGCAAACATTTTGTAGAATTGAAAAGCTAGCTGACCTAGCGACGAGTAATAGATAAGCCGTGGTGACCACATTATTAGATTTTACAGAGACATGTTATTTTTTCATTTATAGCTTAGGAATATTAATAAATAATACTTGTTTACAATCACCTTCTGTTTACTTATATAAAGTAGTAATATTTTGATGAAAGAGTCACCTTTCTTTCCCATGGGTATCGCAAGAGGCAGCTAAGGGAATTAAATGGTCAAGGAATGTTCAGCTGCGTCCCTCGCAAAATATCACCAAAGGCTGACTGCGATTACCAACCCGCCCGTCAAGCGTGGCAACTATGTTCAGCAATGGACAGTTAACTGCTGGTATAATAATAATAATATACATATTTTAAAGTTTGTTTAAATTACTACCTGTTTAGAGCATCGATGTTATTTTTATACGTTAAATAGCTAGCTACCCAAGACTTTGCCCACGTGAATGGGATAACATATCCCATTATTATGTATATCTATCCCATTAATATTTTATATTAGTCTTCTATAATTTCATATTAAACAATATACTATTACAAGAAAGGTAACTTCTCCTGAACAGATTTAAAAGAAAGATTGTCTCAATTTTTTAACAATTTTTAATGACACCCAAAAGGCTAACTGTAAGAAATAATATGATTAATGTGTTGGCGATAAGTACAGAAGACACAAAGCAATTACAATTAGTCAATAAATGTCCTCATTCTATAATAATAGATAAACACTTCTGTTTGCTAAATTAAAAAATAAAATTAGATACACATTTTTGTAAATATTTGGAATACAACGAAATTAGTTCTTGAGATCCAACGACAAACGTTATGAATACATTATATGGAAAATGCGGTATTCAACGCAAATAGAAAACAATTTTTCCAGGAACAGAACGATAAAACCATAAAATTAGTAGCTGTATCTCGCGGCTTTGCCCACGTAAATCAATAGGTATATGAAATATCCTACGTGCTAAGTTAGGATTTAACCTATCCGTGTACCAAATTTAATTACAATTTATTTAGTAGTTTTTGCATGAAAAAATAACAAACATCGATCCATCCATCCATCGTTACAAACTTTTGCATTTATAATATTAACAGAATGAACCAAAAATGGAATTTAACCAAAAAAAAAATGTGTACTTTTAAGCTTTCCCTTGATGCGTATAAACTGGTTTATTCATTACTGAAGTCCAATTATTACATGATTTAACCACTTAAATCCTTAGCATATCCTTTCGACAATTACGATTTCTACATGTATATTAGATAATATTATTAAACAATAAAAAAAATATCATAAAATAAATAAATTTTTTAAAAAATCTCAAAAGAAATGTAAAATGTGATCCACCTACAACAGGACAGGAACAGTCCATTCATGTAGTTGACAATACAACTCAGACGCGCGTCCACACAACGTGACTCTAATACGAAAAAACGTCATCTCATTCTGTTACACATCACCTTTCGCTTTTGCAAGTCATATCTTATGAAGGAGGTCATAAGAAGTATAAACTTCAGAATAAATAATAAATTATGTAAAACTAGCTTTTAGCCGCGAAATTGTTCGCGAAGAACATGATATAGTAGCCTATATCATATTTTTACCTTCTCTATCCCATATAGTACATGTATAAGTTGGGGGAAAAGGGATTGTTTCTACTATCAGTGTCCACAGGAACCCAATATATAGATATCGGAATGAGTATATTATATAAGCACGGATAATACGGACATATGGGGGGAAAGGGATTGTTAGTAATGGCGACTGAGAATCCCATTGCTAGCAATATACCTAACCAGGTCGACCTCCTCGCGGTTGTCCCTGGAAACTATCATGGTTAATTCCTGATGAATTCATCATGATGGGCTAACTGGCCTGTTTTCAATCTCATCTATCACCCTTCACTGGTGCTCCGCAAGCATATACCGTTGGCGCAGGCGGGGTTACTATACCAATTTCACCCATCAAAAAAAAAGTACATATATAAGTTTGGTATATGGTTTTTCTTTCACAAAGAAAAATAGCATCTTTATTCTATAGTTCAAAGAACGACGTTAAAAAAACAGTTGTGAAAATCAGTTCAGAATTGATGACATGAACAACATAGTCACTAAAAATTCAGACGAATTGACAACCTTCTTCTTTAGAAAGTCGCTTAATAAATACAAACGAGCTTCATATATAAGTAAATAATGCAGACAAATCCTTACACATTTCAATAAAATAAATGACCGTACTCGTAAAATAAACATTATTTATGTTTGGAATAATTTTGCGGTATATATATGCAATAGAATCTATTATTTGAAGTAATAATGGTTAGGGAGAACTGGCATCCAATGTCGTGGTCACATATCATGCTATTAAGATATTATTATTAGTATTATGAAAAGAAATATTTATTCATAGCTATCATCCAGCAGGTTGATTAATTTTTGCTTAAATTGTAACAAATATGCCACACTTGAAAAATTACGTCTTCAAGCTATCCAGACGTACCTATTCATTATTGGCAAGCTATTAATTTATAATGCATCTATTCTCACTACTATAAATTATAACAAGATACCAGGCCCATAAAAGCTGCACCGATCGATGTAGCTCATTTTAAGCTCAATTTTCCAGCTAACCTGCTTTGTAGATCGACGAGATATACACAGGGCCTGATTCAGTAAATATGTGACATTTTTTAAAGCTTCCCACAGGAACATTTAGTGCACATGAATACGTAATTTTCATAATAATATTTATTCCCAAAGTAAATTCTCGAAATTGTTTTTAGTTTTAAACTGCGAAAGATAAACGTTAGGTTTTTATACTCTCATCTCATATCACAGTAAAAGTAACAGTACTTAAAGAAGTAAGTAAGTAAGCTAAAAGTAGAAACGGGTCGAAAGTTAATTCTTTCACTGTTTACTTTGTGTCACATGACAAAAAGTAAAAAATGATACAAGTTTGAGATTAACAAAAGTCCTGTAAATTATATTGATTTAAAGAAAAAAATATTTAGCTTTGAGTGTAAATCAATTTCGCATTTGGCAACCCTAACTTGTATATAATACTCCACCCTTGATACCAGAAAATGATATCCACTCAAACTACTAGTAGTAGTAGAGAAGAAAAGAAAGAGAATAAATACGTAGATAGGATAAAGAAACCGGTATAGGGCGTGTCAAACAAACGTGATTCTTCTTCTTTTTGGAGACACCTTGTTAGAGCACATACGGTACATCTAAGGAAGTCAGAGGCTGCAACCTCACTACGCTTACATCATCTATCTAATAATCCCCATTTTAGAGCACTCATAAAAAAAACACAACTATCACATGGACCGTCCTCAAGAACTTCCACTTCGTTTCGTTTGGTCCGTTGGTTTGCTACGTATACGTATGATACTAAAATTTAAAAATATTTTTATATTTTTTATACGTCTACTACGATACCTTACTACGGATTTTTGTGAATGCATTATAATTCTATATTCCATTAAGGCGGATAAAAAAGTCAAAAAGTACTCTAAAACTAAATCACAGGTAACACAAAAGGATTCCCTTCGCGCTCCTTTAAATCCACCCCTGAACTGTAGACTATTCATACTGTTAAATAAGCTAATTTTCTACAACACTGCACTGATTATAATACAGGCCTACAGAGGGCACTAAAAGAGTGTTCGATTAACGACTGGGTCGATTTATGCGACCGTTTCACTTAACTTGCTTGTATTTTTATTGCTCATTTTATAGACACCTATTGAACCAATTGGCCATAATAAAGACACAAATTAAACAATGGTGAAAATTATGTTCGGTTTTATGTTTAGGTGCCCACATTTTGTTTCTTTATATAGGGTGAATTCGAAAATATTGGCATTTTTTTACAACATAGGGGCAAATGAGCATGCTGCTCGCCTGATGGTAAGTGAATATCGCCGCCCATCCATACCAAAAGTGGCATCCTTTTTATAGGAATTTTTAAGAAGCTTTATCTCGTGAATCATTATATAAAATATCCAATTCTTAAGATACAATATTAATTATTTATATGCCAAATTTCATTCTAATCCGTTTAATAGTTTTTGCGTGAAAGTCTAACAAACATCCATCCATTCTTATACAAACTTTTGCATTCATAATAGTAATAGCATTTTCTACCTGTAAAACTTTAAATTTTTCTCAATTAAACAAGCCGAAAAACAACAGAAAATTTAGTACCTGTGACAGACAGGTTTGGATATAGCATGCTAATGTTTGGTTCTCATTTTTCGAGGCAGGTTTCTTTGAGAAAATTGTTCAGCTGCACATAAAAATCTGACAGCTTAGCAACTTGTGTCATACTATCATGATTGCATTACTAATTTCGCAGTGTAGTCGAAACTAATATCAATAGCCCAGAATCTAGAAAACTAA